GCCTCGCCCGGCGCCTGATGCCACTCTCCTCCTTGGTCCCGGTCTCTCCAGGAAGGACCTGAGCGGATAGGTTTCCTAGTCCTTCAGTTACCTAGGACTTTGGTAAAGAAGGGTCCTGGCTTGCGCAGGGCTTGTGGGTTCAGTGAGGTGCGGGTCGAGGTCACTGAGGGAGGAGAAGCCAGGGCTGGAGTCAGGGAGCTGGGGGCTTGAAGTTTGAGACCTGCTCCTTTGGAAATGCTCTGAGTCTCGCCCCAGCCACCAGCAGGCTGTGTAGTCTTGGGCTACTCACCCTTTCTGAACATCTTATCATGGGGAAATAGGGATAAGGATGCGTAGATTTTGGGGTCTGGGGAAGATTCGATGATAATGCCTACGCATAAGCAAGCACGATGCCTGGTATTACGCAGAACACAATAAATGGCAGGATGCAGTGGGGACACCTTTGGCAAAGGATCATCTACTTCAAGTGTCGCTTTCTTCATGAGTAGAGAGTATATGACATTTAGTTCCCAGAATAGCATGAAAATGAAGGGCATACTTCCCCAAAGCCTCCATTTAACCTACACAGTGTGTGAGAACGGAACGGAAAGATTTCTCTGGCAGCCTTTGCTACACATATACTGAGAGAAAGTGAACTCCATCGTATCTACCACTGAGAGTGAGCGCAGGCGCTGTGTCAGTCCACTCGTCTATAAAATGTAAATGGGACCAGGATGTCGCCCTTCTGGGATTAGGTGAGAGTTGCAAAAATTAATCTGGAATCTATTAAATGCTAAGCAAAAGTAACTCAGTGTTCTGAACCCTGAGGCTCAGTGCTTCAATCGCTCTCAAAGTTTTGTGCTATTAGAAAAAGACACTACTGGGGCAGAGGAGTAGGGAAAGGTTCTTGAATACACATCTTATAAACAGGCATTCCCTGCGTGGCACCAATTGGAAACAGCACCCTCTTCCATCATACCTTCCAAGCAACTGGTGAAAAGGGGGCACCCATTTCTGGGGAGATCTATTAGCAACAAGCACTTCTCTGGGAAGACCCTTCCCTGGGGCCGACAATTCCTATGCCAGGGAGCAGCTGAGTTGAGATGGGTTTCCTTGTTTAACTACCCAGCAGGGAAATCCTCCTGAGAGGTGCTGCCTGAGGCCTGGGCCGGTGGCCTAGTCCTCTGAGAGCCTACAGTGTCAATTCTCAGTTAAGAACAAAATAAATGGTGGACAAGCTTTGGTGGCCTGCAGGAGAGGTTCTGAAGGACAGTGGGACAGAGCTACTAAAGACAGAAAACAAAACCTCAATTCTCAGTTCAACTTCAATATTACATTAATAGTTGTCTAATGTAGGTGAGTGTCGTGTGGCATTTGGGACAGGCATATGAAAATGATTAGACAAAGTTCAACTGGGCAACTTATAATTTAACAGGCAACTGCAGGGTATATGTATGAATTATAGGTATGACAAGGGCAGATGGTAGTTTTGACTAATGGGTGGATTCTAACAGGCCTGGAAGCGCTTCTTTAGATCAGGGAGCTTTGGAAAGTATCAGTAAGGGGCACCTATCTGAGAGTAGACTCCGAGCAGAAGTCCAGTCTGACCTGATTCTTTCTGCAGCTAGATTCGCCCCATCTAGCACATTCTCTCCATTCTAGCATACCCAGAGTCCATTTCACCTGCACTATTGAGAAAGGGGAAGAGGGAGCTGTGGATCTCTAGATAACCAAGCATCTGCAAGAATACAGGCTTGACCACACAGATTCTCTTTCTGTGAATCCCAGGGCAATCCCATCCACACTAGTACCATTGCTGACTTTGGGAGCTACCTTGTTCCACTTTACCTTGTCTCCTTTGTGCTATTATGGGAACAAACAAACAAACAACAGCAACAAGATCCCCCCACCACATCAGCGCCTAGAGTAATGGCTCAGTGGTTAAGAGCACTTGCTGCACTTGTAAAAGATAGTAGTTCAACTTGCCGCACCCACATTGGGTGGTGCTCCCAACTGCCTCTAACTGGAGCTCCAGGGGATCTGAGACACTCTTCTGACCTTTGAGGGCATTAGCATCCATGTGCACACAAGCACATGTACACACATAATTAAAACTAAATATTTTAAAATAAAGATCTTAAAATTTTTCTGTGTGTATGGATGGTTTGCCTGTATTTATGTATGTAGGTCCATCACATGTGTGCAGTGTTCTTGGAGGGCAAATGAGGGCATCAGATTGCATAGAACTGGAGTTACAAACGGTTGTCTATGGAGGTGCTGGAAATGAAACCCAGCCCTCTGCAAGACAAACCAGTGCTTTTAACTGTGGAGCCATTTCTCCAGCCCCTAAAAGAAATCTTTTTTTGGTGGAGAGCCAGGTGTGGTGGCACATGCCTTTAATCCCAGCAATTGGGAGGCTGAGGCAGATGGATATCTGTGAGTTCAAGACCAGGCTGGTCCACAAAGCCAGTTCCAGGATAGTCAGGGCTACAGAGAAAGACCCTGTGACTTCTTTAGGAGAAAGCTACTATCCTATGCATTCTTATTTTAAAGGATGAGGAAAATGAGGCTTAGGGATTCCATCATTTGCCCAAGGTCATAGTTCTAGTAATGAAGGCAGGATTCAAACCTGAATGGTCTAACTCTAGAACACAGTACATCAAGTGGAATGCATGAAATGTGGTTCTTAGGTCCCTCACAGAAACACTTACTAAAAATTCTGGCTCCTGGGCTGGGCTATAGCTTAGAGGTTAAGTATTTGCCCAACAAGCACAAGGCCCTGGGTTCAGTCTCCAGAACACAACCCCCATTTCCCCTTCCAGAAATATTCAGATTCCTGAGGCTTACTGCAGACTTAAAGAATCACTAAACACTAAATACCAGCAGTGCCCAAGAGGAAATCAGCTCTGAGTTTTCCAATGGTTTTGTTTTTGTCTTCCTTCCTACCCTCTCTTTGCTGGGTGGTTTCTGATTCTGACCCAGCAGTGTTGGTAGCATTCACCACGCGTCCTCTTCAAAGAGAGCTGCCCCCCTCCCCGCCCTTCCTCCTGCGGAACTTGGGGTTTGGCTCAGCTCCTTAGAGCCTCCCAATCCTCCCAGAGTGGACAGAGCTCTGGAACTCATGCCAGGCCTGGGCATGCTGTGTGCTAAGGGGAGTAGCTGTCAGAGGCCATTCCTCCTGTTCTGGCAGAGGGTCACAGCAGATCCCTTGAACCAGGCAAGATGTATAATCCAGGACACGGAACCTTTAGGCCTCAGTTTCCCTCTGTATAACAAGAACAGCCAGTGTTGTCTTTGCACTTTCCTCCTCCCCAGGAAGTTTGCAGAACACAAAGTAGATTCTATCAGAAGGAATGGATTCTGAGCTCCCAAGTAAGTCAGTCACAGGAGGACCACCCTCAAGGAGTCCCCAAACCAATAAAATCTGAGGACTAGTGAGGACCGGAGAGGAGCTGGAGGGAGCTGGCGAGGCTTCCCTTGGGTGGTGCAGGCTTTGGTGGAGAAATGACTTACCACTGGCAGAGGCTGCTGAGCTTTTAGCGATGCAATTCCCCACTTTCTAGCAATCACCTCTGCCTATGACAGAGGGAAGCCCCCCTATCCAGCACAGTGGGCATGGCCTTCTCAGTCTAGGCATCTTCATAAGTGCACCTGCCTATATGTACTTTTGGATCTCATTCTCTCTCTCTGATCAGGGAAAAACAAGACATGAGGCTGACCTGGCTTTGAATCTTGGCTATTTTTCACATTGTGTGACCTTTGTAAATTAACAACTCTTGAGTTTCTGCCATTCCTCAAGGGGGACAAAGAGAATTCTTGTCTTTTTCTTTCCCAAGTCCCTGACAAGCAATGAGGAGTGAGCAGGATCATTAGTAAGCCTGAATCCTGTCAAGTACTGGTGATGGGTTGCACAGACACAAGTGTTTATCCCAACCCTGTGCCGTTTCCATACCTGGACCCGCTCACAGCCCAGACGACATACTGCAGAACAAGCACCGCGCTTCTTCCCCAAGCTGTGCTCAGTTTGGAGCAGCCCCACTGCCCCATCCCTCATCACAGCTTAGTAAAAGCCTCGGCCTCTTCTTGGTTTGTTTTTTACTCACACCAGGACCCTGGGGACTTGCGAGGAACACAATAAAAGCTGGGCCAGTCTGGCATTGTGCCCCACTTCCCTTCCACATAAAGGCTGTCTGCCCGCCAGGCATCTGGCCGGCAAGACTGGGCCAGTCTCTTGCTAGCAGCTGCTGCTTTGCTTAAGAGACCTGCTAACAGGAAAGTGTCTGGTTCCTTTCCACCCTAAACAGGAAGCGCCTGCCATGGTGGGAGGACTGGGTAGCCTCCTGCTGCAGCTGGAAAGCCTGCTCTCGAGGAAGGCTGCAGGAACTGGGTCCCAGGGACACCTCCCTCGCAAGGGCTGGAGTGCTGACAATGGCTACACACTGCCTGTGGCACTTGGCTTGGGGCAGCTGTCCTTCTTTCAGCAAACACTCATGAGACACTCACTTGTGCCTCCTGGGAGCCATAGGGCAGTTCTCCATAAGCTCTTCAAGTTGGAGGCGTTCACACACAAGCCAGAGAGGCAGGCCGTTTCTGTGTGGTGCTACTCCTACTTATTCATTGCACACAGCCCCCCACCCTTACTTCCTTTTAAAAAATGCATAATGTTGGAGCTGGGAGAGACAGTTGGCTTTAGTTGCTAAGACTATTTATTGCTCTTCCAGAGGACGCGGGTTCAGTTCTCAGCACCCACACGGTAGCTCACAATCATCTAGAACTCCCCAGTTCCAGGGGATCGAATGCCCTCTTTTTGACCCCTGAAGGCACCAGGCATGCAAAATACTCAATACACATAAAATCAAAATAAATAAGCTTTTTTAGAAATGCCTACTGTTTTGGGTATTGTGATGGGGTGCTTTAGGTTCAGAAAGAAGTATGCCACATATCACAGAACAAACTAAAAAAACTGGAAAGTCTCGAATCCTGTGGCTGCCTCAGGATCTCACTGCGGCCTCCGTGTGACTCTTCTGAGCAATTACTTCATTTGGCTTCTACTTGTGTGTCCTGTAGTTGACTGTATTTTGAAAAGAGCAGCCAGAGAAATCCTGGCCAAACAGGTCACACCTCTGCTCAAATAGCTCTCTCTGACAGCTTCTCCTCTCACCCTACTTAAATCTCCAGTCCTTAAAAATGTCCTTGCAAGGATTGCACCAATGATGGAAGAGTTGGGGAGCTAACCTGGCAGCAGAGGCAACATAGAAGTCATCAGTGGTAATAGGATTATAGGAGCCATGAACTGGAAGGACAAAGGGAGGGGGTGGGTTTTGGAGCCAGGGATCAGGGCTCTGAACATTTCCCTTCCTCCGGGAGGCAGGTGCTAGAGCTCAGGTCACCAGTGGAACCTGAAGCTCGGCTAACTCCCTGTGGAGTGACCTCTATTTCTCCTTGTGTTTCATCTCCACTCTGACTTCTTATCAGTTTCCCATTGACAAACACTATGTTTCGTGTGTGTGTGTGTGTGTGTGTGTGTGTATTTGGTATGTGTATTAAGTGTGTGCACATGCATATGTAGAGGTATGATGTGACAAACTTTTCCTGGACAAACACACACACTTGTTCACTCTAGAAAGGGAATACAGACCAATGTATGGATACACCAAAGTACAACTTGGTGAGCCAATGAGTTCCACTGGGGTTATTTACAGAAAGTATGGAGGTGGGGTTATGACTTATAGGAACAGCAATCACTTGAAGACATCTACATCACCAAAACCCACTCTAGCATGGGTGACAGCTCACAAAAGCTGGAAACCTGGTGCACACTGCGCAGCCTGCAGGCAGCTCAACAGGCTGGAATGTGTCTTTTCCTAGTGCCTCAGATAGTTTGAGCCTCTTCCAGGAAGCTGGCCTTGTCTGAGAATCCTCTTTGCAGCTTGGCTTGCCTGAGAGCAACACTCAGGAGTCATTTACATAGTCTTAAGGGAAAAAAGCCTGGTGAATCTGGTCAGTTTCCAGGACTTCTAGAAGTTGCCTGGAATTATTTACCTCCTATCTTAAGAAGAGTCTCTGCAGGTAGAATGTTTCGATTCCCGAGAAAACTGCCACATAAAGAGGCTAGAGGTTAAAGTCCAGTGTCTCTCTGAAACTGGAGCACACTTGATTTGACTACTCTAGCTAGTCAGCTTGCCCTGGGCTCTGGGTCTGCCTCCCAAGTGCTGGATTCCAGGCAGACCACCATAATGGCCCAGCATTTATATGAGTCCTGGGGATCTTAACGCTCATCTACGTACTTTTCTCCCCAGCCTCTTACTTACCAATTCCAGTGGTAGTAATTTACACAATATTTAATTTAAAGTAATTTTTTTGCATGGCTGAGGACTAAACCTAGTGGCTATAGCTTGCTGGGCACACAGCCAACCCAACACCCAGCCATCATGGGGTGGGTGAGGGGGTTGCAGAGGGCAGGACCTCCTGTGAGGCCATGGGGAATAGATCAGGGGCAAACAGGTCCAGAAATGAAACTTCCCAGAAACATCCTGCTGAAGCCGTTGTTCTCTCCTCTCAGCGTGTAGACCAAGCCAGGCGAGTGGATGCCACTAGAGAAGGGAGTGTCACCATGAAGCGGTAGTGGGTGAAGACAAAAGCTTGCTGTAGATGTCATCAGGGCCCACTCGATTCGTCTATGGGGCAAACGCTTGGAAGGCAGAAGGGCACAGGGCTTCATCTGTGGTGGAGGAGGCCCTGGAACAGAGCAGACATGGGAGGAGTTTTGAGTTTGGAGAACAGGGACACTGCACAGATCACTGACCTCAGTTCAAAGGCTGGCAGGAGTTCTGCTGCTATTCCATGGGATCTTGATCAACATGTTCACCTCTCGGAGTTTCAGGGTTATCCCTGTTTCACAAGTCTGTCCTGAAAATGAGATAATGGAGACAGAAAACTGTCACTCCTAAGTTAACTTCCTCAGAAGCTCCCACTTTTCTTCTTTAATTAATTAACTGATCATTAATTAATGCATGCACAGGTCAGAGGACAACATCCAAGAGTCGGTTCTCTCCTTCCACCATGCAGGTTCCAAGGAAAAAACACGGTCAGGTTTGGTGCTAAGTGGCTACCTGATGAGCCCTTTCACTGGCCCTCAAGTTTACTCCTTTTTAAACTATGATGCCCAAAGTCAACCATAAAGCATACAAGGCCTTTCAGAGTAGTTTCTGCCCCCCCCTTCTTTTGAGACATGGTCTTTGTTGTCCAGGTTGACCTCAAACTTAGGATCCTCCTGCAGCAGTTTCCTGTGTGCTGGGATTATACACATGTAGCTCCATTTGTACATGGTGCCCACTTCTGACAAGGCATTTCTTCTCATCCCCCATCCCTACAACTCCAGTGACAATCAGGGCTACTTACAGTGCCCCCAATCGCTCTCTCTCAGGATCACCAATGCAGCCCATTTTGCTTGGAATACCCACCAGCTAATTCCTGATTTTCCTTCAAAGCTTGCTTCAGGAGGCACCTCGTGCGGGATCTTTCCTTGATAATCCTACCTTCTCATAGACGAAGTGTCCTATTTTTAGAACATCTTCCAACTCTAGAACATTCAATTCCAACAACCAGTAGGAACTGTAGGTCTGCACCACGCCAATTATGCGACTGTTGTTTCTGGAGGGTGGCAGCTGGGTTTCTGTCTCTGTCTTTAGGACTTCCCAGGTTCTACACACAGAGCAGGCCTTAGGAAAGGAAGACTGATGAATAAGTGAATAAATAAGGATATAAACATAAGTAGTCAAAGATGAACAACTTTTTTTTTAAATAATTTATTTGTTTTTATTTTATGTACATTAGATTTTGCCTGCATGCATGTCTGTGTGAGGGTTTCAGATCCTGGAGTTACAGACAGTTGTGAGCTGCCATGTGGGTGCTGGGAATTGAACCTGGGTCCTCTAGAAAAGCAGTCAGTACTCTTAACCGCTGAGCCATCTCTCCGGCCCAAACAACACTGCTTTTTTTTTTTTTCCTTCAAACTTAAAAACAAAACAAAAACAAAAAAACTAACCCAGATCTCTTTCTTCCTCCTGAGGCCTGAATCTCTCCTGCTGCAGGAAAAGCTCTTCTTCTCTGGGTTATTTTCCTCATTACAGATTACAGATGCTCAAGTTATATGGCTCGTAGTAGTGGAAGACTTATTTCTTTAGCTTTGCTTGTTTGTACCCATCTGGAGGTTTTTTTTTTTTTTTAAAATAATCTTCTGTCTATACAGTTGAGGGCATAATGAGGAGAAAGGACCTCATGCACTTTTCTGACCTCAAGTATCACTTCTGAACTAGTTACTCCATCCCAATCTGTTCCCCATGGTCCCTAGCCCAGTGAGTGACACCTCCACCTGCCCATTTGTGTATATAGAAAACCTAAAACTCTGCACCAGCTCCTTGCACACGCACTGATCACCATTTCCTCCTAAGTGTGCCCGTGATTTCTGTCCTTACCTCCACAGCTACTTTGAGTCCAGTGCACTATGATCTCTCACTATAACCACTGCACTGGCCAGTGGCGTGATCTCTCTGCTTAAAATTATGATTTTTGTTTTGAGGCAAGGTCTTTCTTTGTAGCCCTGTGTGTTCTGGAACTCACCATGTACACCAGGTTGGCCTCGAATTCAGAGGTCTGCCTGATTTTGCTCCCTGAATGCTGGGATTAATAGGCATGTGCTACCTCGATGGGCTGAAAAAAAAATATTTACCAGTGCTGGGAATTGAATCCAGGAACTTAAGCATGTTAGGCCAGGCTTTAATACTGAGCAATATTCTCAGTAGCCCCTCTTCTCAACACACACACACACACACACACACACACACACACACACACACTTTTAGATGTCTCTCATCTCCAACCTGTTCTTCATTCTGCAGCTGGGAAATACGTATCTGATCTCACCCTTCTGAAGTCTCTAGTGGGTGGATCCACCGCCTTCAGGATAAAGTTCAAACTACAAGGCCTCTGCTATTTAGCCTCCTACTTTTCTGGCATATTCTAGTATTCTCCCCTGCAGGCGACACTCCAAACACATCAAGTTACTTGTTCTACAACTCTGGACAGATCTTTTGCCCACTTCTTCAACTTGATTAACTCATCACCCAGGCTTTGGTTCTGATGTCACTCACTTGGGGAAATGTCCTTCTCTTAGTTTTCCAAGCCCTTTCTCCAACAGAGTATACTGTACAGCGTTAGGTTAAAGCCCTCAGCAGTGGGGTTGGGTTTCTAGACTTCCAAATTCCACCTTTGCCCTTATTAGCCACACGACCTCAGTCTGTTCGTTTTTTATCCGCAACCTGGAGGAAATATTTCATCAGTTGCTCCGCGAATTAAATGAGATGATGTAAGACGCCGACAAATAGTTGTTATTATAAAGGATTGAGAAGCGCGATTCCCGCACTTATCCCCCGGGGTCAGTTCTGTGCGTGATTTAGACTGAACTCGCGTTTCTGTCCTCGTCTCACCTCGTCTTTTACCGGACAAGGCAGTTCGAGCAAGCCTGGAGGTGCTCGGGAACCGAGCTCGTCACGACTTTCGTCCCGCGCGCTCCTCAGACTCGGAACGCCCCCAAGTGGTTCAAGCTCTGCAGCCAGAGCCGGAGCGAGGCCGGTCACACCATTCCCGACGTTAGAGGAAAGAAACCCGATTCCCAGGCCAATAGCTCTGACTGGGGAAAAGGGCGCCTCCTCTTTCGCTTTCACAGCTCACAATTCTGCCCGTCCCAATACAATTAGAACTGGGGGTTGTAAACGGGACGGAGCGAGTCGGCGCGGCCGCCTCCCCTAGCCCCACGAGTGCTTTGGTACTTTCCTTTCTCAGTTCCCTCTCAATAATGGTACGGTCGCGGAGGGGCGATCCAGGAGAGACGCCGGGGTCGGCGGACCCGAGCGGGGTAGGATCACCCCTCCGGCCGCGGCGCGGTGGTATCGCCCTCCGCGCGCTGATTGGCTGCCGCGGTCCCGCAGTCGGCCTCAGACCGCCGCGCCGCCCTCAGAACAGCTCCAGCAGCCGCGCCGCCTGGCTTTTCGTTTCCCTTGTTCTCCGCGGGCCGTGGGGGCTCCGCGCCGCGGCTGTTAGGCATGTCGGGTAGGTGACGCCTCCGGCGAGCAGCGGCGAGGAGGGGTCCGGCGGGTGCGGGCCGCCTTCCCGCCCACCGGAGGGCTGCGAGGGAAAGCCTCGGGCCCGCGGGAGGCTCGGGGGGTGGGGGGGCGGCCGCGGCGCCGCCATGTTGGACTGGAGGCACGCACGCTCCCAACGCTCTTTGGCTACGAATCGCGGCGGGAGAGCTCTGGAGCTGTCTTTTGACCCTGCCCTTAGAACCTGCGGAGACGCGCAGCTCCCCGGGGAGGGGTGTGTGTGTGTGTGAGTTGGGGGGTGGGGGGCGGAGGCCCGCTTGCTCCATCGCAGGGGCGGGGGAAGTCGGGATGTGAGTGAGCATCAGCTCCTGGTCCTCCACTGCGAGCACCTCGGGTCTCCCAGCGAGGCCTCGTTCCTCAGCTTCCCCAATCCGAGAAGTGGAGCTGGGCCCTTCCCGACTCACTCGTTTATCAGGTGGGGGTCCGAGGTTCGGGGAGCTCTTTGCACAGCACGTTGCCTTTACACGCAACCCGCTCGTCCGGGTCATTCCCTCTGCTGTTAGCACCGGGATTGATTGGGGTTGAGGGGGGGTTGCGTATCCGGCTTCACCTTTGTACTCTTTCCCCCACCTGTTCATCTCCTGCACCGAAAAGTGAGCCTTGACAGTTGACGATGAGCGCTTTTAGGTCTTCGTGGCATTTCCCTTAGAACAGAGAGACCAGAGGAAAGACAGCGTCTTCCTCGAAGTGATATTTATGGAGGCCACGGATGTGTGGAAGAGAGGCATTTACCCCTCCCGGACAGCCAGTTTGAATCCTGTTAAATCAGAATCAAAAAGTCCTCCTGATTCTAACAGGTCCAGTTGATCGCACAAGGGCCTTTATTGTTGGGCTACATTTACAGGTGGCAGAGACAGACCCAGATAGCCACTTGATCTTAGAAGCCAGCATGAGTTCGTGCTTTCCTTCCGAGGGACATTGCCGAAAGCCATATGGCTGGAATGAAATAGGCCCTTTGGTAGTTTTACATTTACCTATTTACTGGAGACAGGATCTCATTATGTATCCTTGGCTGTCCCGGAACTCGATGTGTATGTAGACCAGGCTGGCCTCGAACGCAGAGATCCATCTGCCCCAGCCTCCCAAGTGCTGGGATTAAAGGCTTGAACCATACACCCACCAGTTTTTTTTTCACTTCTGTTAATTAGCAATCCTTTTTAAAAGGTTTCCCTAGTCCACTAGGGTGTGTGTGTGTGTGTGTGTGTGTGTGTGTGTGTGTGTGTTCGTTCGTTCGTTCAAGGCAGCAGCCGTGGGAGACCATTTCAAATGAGTAGGAAAGACTGGGCTGGGAAATGATAATCTTTCCTTAGATTAGCGTTGATTCCGAGGGGCTCTAAGCTTTTGGGGGTCGGAGTAGGATATCTGTCTGATGGACAGGGCTAAACTGTACTGAAGTTAGCTCTTCAAATTCTGTTTAATTCTTTTTCAGACAAGGGATTATTTCAAAGTAGACGTTGGTATGTCTGCTGCCAGGTACATAAATTCATCATGATACCTGAAAGGTCCAGAAGAATATGTACAAATGCTTCCTAAGAAAGGGTATATGTAGGTTAACCATGACTGTAAAAAAATTGAAATTCTATTCTTAAGTAGAAATTTGCCAAAATTAGTGCAAGCGGTGATAAGTAACAACTCGGGATTGTTTGGACAGGATCATCCAGTGTATCTCCAGGCTGGCCTTTAATTCATCATCTTAAACAGTCTCCTGAGTGGGATTACAGGCTTGCTGTACCTTGCCCAAACTCTGTTGGTTTTTTAATGTAATCATTCATATAAAACAGTGACATTTTTATAGGACTGAGTGGTTTCAATGGAAAACTTAAAGTTAGAGGCTTAAGTTAAAATCTTTTAAGATCTTTTTAGTGTTGTAACAACTTAACATGTTTTGTGATGCTTGTGTAAAATACTTTGACTTTTGTGTAAAAGTGATGCTTTTGACTTGTTTTTAATGCATGTTTAATAAACTTAACAATAAATTCGCCCCCAAGCAACTAGTATCATTAAGTTACATTCTTAAGCATTCCAGACCACACTTAGAAATTTGACTCAACTAATCCAGATGCTTGCTCTGTCAGAGTTTCAAACATATTAAAATATAATCATTTGGGCTGGAATTAATGCTTAGCATGCACAGAACTTAAGGATTTGATTGCCTGCGTGAGGGGAAAGAGATGTATTCATAGTATTTTGTCAGTAAGTCAAAATTATTATCAGTGACAAAGTTATTTGCGAAAGTGAATTACCAGAGCTTTTGAATTAAAATCACAAGTAAAATATTAGTTATATATAAAATAAAGTCAAGCAGTATTGACTTTATATTGCACCTCTATATGCACCTCAAAAAAAATATAGACAAAAATTTGGGAAGGTTAAAACCCATAGTAAAAATGAAGTAGAATCCAATATGATATGCATAGAGCTATTTTGGCAATTACCTCCAGGGAGTATAGGTTTTGTATGATGGTTTTATTTTCTAAGGGTGGGTGATGCAACCTTGAACTGTTAGCCTGATAATGGAAACTGAAACCCTTGTAAATCTTGGGTTTACAGGTAATTGATGTGAAGGATTGTGTCCTTCAGTGAAGAAATGAACAAAGAGGAAAAAAAATCCTAGTGTAAGTGTTAACAAGGAGGCCAGGCGGTGGTGGCGTATGCCTTTAATCCCAGCACTTGGGATGCAGGGGCAGGCGGATTTCTGTTAGTTTGAGGCCAGCCTAGTCTACAAAACGAGTGCCAGGATAGACTCCAAAGCTACAGAGAAACCCTGTCTCGAAAAAACCAAAAAAAAAAAAAAGTGTTAACAAGGAAGTTTAGACATTGTAGAATCTTGAAATTTGTAGCCTGGAACCTCTTATTTCTTTTAGTTACTCATTTAGCCTTTAGGAAACCTTAAAATGATTTAACATAAAAATAAAAAAAATCTGGACTGATTAACATCTTTGGGTTCCTGGTTTAAAAAAGTAAAACAAAATGAAAAACTGGAGGAATTCTGATAACATAGATCACAAAGAATCTGAGGAAATGTAAACCTTTCAAAAGGTGAGTTCATGGTAAAAAGTGAACACTAGGAACAGGTGTCAAATGAGACAAATGACAAATCAGATAAGAACAAATGTTTTTATGTTGCAGATTAAAAAACTGAAAGAATGAATCAGGACTGGAGAGATGGCTCAGTGGTCAAAAGCACCAGCTGCTTTTTCAGAGGACCCAGGTTCAATTCCCAGTGCCCACATGGCAGCTCACAACTATCTGTAGTAACTCCTGTTCTAAGGGATCTGACATCTTCATACCAATGAAGTTAATTTCATAAAATAAAGTTAAATTTAGAAAAAGTTAAAAAAGAATAAATTACTGTTAAGACTAACATATTATGTGGAAAGGCTGCATAGATTTGAAAAAGAAATAAAATACAATTTTAAAAAATTACATTAATGGGGGGCTGGAGAGATGGCTCAGAGGTTAAGAGCACTGACAGATAGACAGAACACTGTATACATAATAAATAAATAAATAAATCTTTAAAAAATTACATTAATGTGTGGGTGCGAGTGTGTGCCTTGGTGTGCCTGTGAAAGTCAGGACAAAGACTTTGTAGTACAAGATATTAAACTCAGAATGTCAAGCTTATGTCGTGTATGTTTACCTACTGAGCCATTTTACCCTTCCCCTCTCCCAAACATAATTTTTTTTAAAGATTTATTTATTCAGTATGTATACAGTATTCTGTCTGCATGTATGCCTGCAGGCCAGAAGAGGACACCAGATGGTTGTGAGCCACCATGTGGTTGCTGGGAATTGAACTCAGGACCTCTGGGACAGTAGGCAGTGCTCTTAACCTCTGAACCATCTCTCCAGCTCCACCAAACATAATTTTCAAAGGTGGGAAAAGTGAAATAGCGAACTTAGCAGAATTATAGCTGTAGTTGTAATCTGTCTTCCAAAATTCACTTTAGAAGGATAGAGATGAAAGTGAAAGTTGGTGGGTATGGTGGTACATACCTGTCATCAGTACTTAGGAAGCTGAGTTGGGAAGGTCTCTAGTTTTAAACCAGCATGAGCAACATGGGAAATTCTTGCCTAAAAAAAAAAGCTGAAAAAATTCAATTGTTCTTTTTTTTATTTTTTAATTTTGAGACAGGACCTCACTAGCTCTAGATGTCCAGGAACTCACAGAGATCTACCTGCCTCATCAGTACTGGGATTAAAGGCAGACAAGCCTAAGGAGTTGAAAGTTTTAATCAAGCATTAGTTTCAGACATGCCTAAAATAATTTCAAAATCTATAAAATTACAGATAATAAAATAATAACCCATAAAAAACAATTTGCAGAGGGATCTTGGAGCTGTCGCTGCTGCTCGTGGCACGGAGAACCAGAGTTGGTTACCAGTATCTGTATCTTGAAGCCCACAGTTGCCTGTGTCTCCAGCTTTAGAGCATCTAACACCCTCTTCTGTCTTGCATGCATGTGTGCATGCTCTTTCACTCGTGGAGACAAAATTAAAAAGTCTGCTTAAAAAGGTTTTAGACTGCCAGGCGATGGTGGCGCACGCCTTTAATCCCAGCACTCGGGAGGCAGAGGCAGTCGGATCTCTGGGAGTTCGAGACCAGCCTGGTCTACAGAGCTAGTTCCAGGACAGGCTCCAAAGCCACAGAGAAACCCTGTCTCGAAAAACA